AATATACAAATTGTAAAAAAGTGTGCTAAATACTGTATTAAAAGTGTTTTGGGAAAATGCACTTCTACTACAACATTACTAATAGACTTTTTCTATATTAACTTATTTTAAGCTTAGGATTAGTATGTAAACAGTGTACTAAAATCAACTAATGTTTAGAGCATTTAAAGCAGACTGTTGAAAAACACACTGATAAAACTCTTCTGGATGTTTTTTTCTGTAGTGTACTTTATTGTAGTACAGTAAACATTTATTTAAGTATTACTGGTATTTGGTATACTTTTGTCAAGTGTACTAAAGTCCTACTGAAGTATGAACATACTTTTAATGAGTATATTTATAGTGTAAAACCATCAAACTTTTATTTAACACAAAAAATAACAATGTACTAAAAATGTATTTGCTGGTATTTAAGTGTTTTTTCCCCTGGGTAAGGAAGCAGCTTTTATGAAGCAAGCTGAGATCGCATCACTCAACCATGCATTGTCAGACACAATGCACTCAAATGCAGCAAGTGACATCACTGTGAGGGGTGGGGTCAGGTGAGCGCATTAATAAGCATTGGATGCAGCCCAGATTGCACTGCACCGAGTCTGCATCCAGACCCCTCTCGCCAAACCTGCAGGACAAACTCCACGAGAGCAGATTAAAGCTCAACAAACCCTTTTCTGACAGCCTTTCTGTGTCTCACACCTCAGAGTTTGAGCACATCAAACACAGCTTCACTCCCAGAACACTATATCCATGATACACCCTTTACTGATCAGTGCAGCACACGCCGGCTCTGTTTATTGCTGAAGTTTACTTGCTATCTTTAAAGTCCGCATCAACCAGAAGCTGCGACCATTTATTTAACATTGTGGCGCAGTTACTAAAGAAACGGAATATTAAATGAGTAAACAGTGGGCGTGGCTTGTTTTTTCTGCTGCAAGCTGATTTGATGTAGTAAAGTAGGCGTGTCATTCAGAAAGAGTGGGGAAAGGGTTTGGAGCATAGAATCACCAAGAGGCGACACTCTAGTGCGATTTGGGAAACAGCCACTAGATGGCGCAGTGGCCAACTTTGAATGAAAACTCCAGTAGAACATCAACATATTATTAGTCTGTAAAGTGAACTATTAAAGTGCTGATGATTGTGATGGTAAGTGTTGTATTGTCAGGTTGTATCTCAGCTTTAATGCGCTTTTTAAATAAATAAATAAAAACAAAGCAGCTGCTCGCCATCGCGACAGCAGTAAGAGCTAATGGACGGCCGATCTCTTTCACTCCAAAATGGCAGGATCTGGGGCTGTTTCTGTGCGCTGCTGTTGCAATGGAACGCTCTATTGAGTGTCGCCTCTTGCTGATTCTAAGCTCTTTGGTGTGGAGAGTGAGTGGGTGCTCGCTGCAGAGCCATTTGAGGAGAGGTGAGCTCCAGAGAGGGGGAGCATGAGCTGTCGCTCCTCCTCCTGTAAGCTGTTTTAATGCGTACACCAACCCCACCCCTAACCCTACCCCCAGTGATATCACTCGTAGAAGAAGTGCAAAAAAGGTGGAGCTCAAGCTTAAGCTCCCCCTCTCTGGAGCTCACCTCTCCTCAAATGGCTCTGCAGCGAGCACCACTTGTGGAGAGTTACTGCTTGTTAAGTGTGACGTCACGCGGAGCGGCTTTCGGGTCCAAGCACTCTATTCAACTGAATGGGGAGATTCATGAAATGGTAATAATAAACGTTTACAAAGCGATTTAATACTTTCTAAAGTCACGATGGCAGTATATATGTGTATGGCTAATATCCAATAGCCAGAAAGTGATTCATTTTTTTTTTATAAATTGTAAAAATGTTGGTATTTGTGATGCAGCAAGCCCAGAGATTGTTGTGTACACTATGATTTTATGTAAAATTAACTTTAATGTGTGATAGGAATAAAAAATTATCATAAACGAGTGATTTCTCCACTCAAATGAGTGGCGGCTTGAACCCGGAAACAGTATACATACGTCACAAACACGTCACCACTTCACAAGCGGATTACAGCCTAACAGACTCCTCCTCCTCCTCCTCTCTGCTTCTGTTTGTTATAGTGACAGCAAGGTAGGGTGTGGTTAAGTGTGCTAGCCCCGCCCCAATACCTCAGACAGACCTAATCTGAGAATTTAACTGAAAACAAACAGGATTTTCATATAGTTAAAGATTAGAAGAGCAAACTGTGTTTTGCATTATTATTGACGCACAGATGAGTTGTTCAGCACAACACTAGCAATGTGAGCTCACAAAATCAACATTTAGATTCCATGTGGGCTTTAAATGAACTACGCCAAAACATTAAACAAACCACAAAATAATTAATAATAGTTCAACTAAATAAATAAATGTAAATCAATAAAACTAAACTGAATATAAGGTTATAGTTCAGGTTAAATAGGAGTAAAAATGTTTTACTTAGAAAGTTTGGGTTGGGGTAAAACAAAAGTCATAATTATAAAATTATTGTTATATTAAAACAATAAACAAAATATAAGTTGGGTATAGTGAACACACACACACACACGCACGCACACACACGCACACGCACACGCACACACACACACACACACTAAAAGTGGGTAGGGTAAAAAACAAATATAAGAGTGTAAATTGTAAATAAATAGAGTTATGGCTGGAGATAAAAACCTTTAATAAATATAAAAGTTATGATCCATGGTGTAATGTACCTAATCTCAAATACTCAGACTGCTGTAATTGAGGAGTTTTTCTCAGGAATTGTATTTTACCAAGTAGTCCAAAAGTGTCCAAGAAGATCTCCAAAATCTTTACACTCATTGACCCAGAGACTGTTTAGCTGCAGGTTAGTGGTGAGAAGATGACGGATGTTAACTGTATGATGACCCAAATGGCCTTAAACACCAGCAGGCACAAGAATGGAAATGAAAATCGGGAAACGTCAGACCCCAATATCAGGCCAACGTCAGTGTCCAACATCCAACCTAAAATCAGCCAAACATCAACGTCTAATGATGATACAGATTGAGGTAGTGTGGATGTTACCGCTATGACATCTATCAGACGTTGGATTTCGATTGTCATACCTGATCAGTAAATGTCAGCATTTGACGTCAAAATGATGTTGGATTTTGGTCACTTTCTAACCTAAAATCAACCAAATATCAACACCATTTGAAGTGGTTATTGGTGATCAAAATAACACCCTTAGACATTGAATTTCGGTCACCTGACATCACAACCTAAATCTGACCTAATATTAACATCTTATGACGTTCACACACACACACACACACACACACACACATATATATATACATACACACATATATGTGTGTGTGTGTATATATACACACACACACACACACACACACACACACACACACACACACACACACATCAGTTTTTTACAGCGTACTCACTATTCAGTACTTTTAAAAGCTCTACTTTTTAGTGAGTAATATGTTTAACATACTATTACTAGCACAACATTTTATGCAAGTATTTCTCCTTTTACTGGAGTGTGATTGATCAGTACTCTCTCCACCACCCGTTATCATCAATATTATTTTCATAAACCGTGATAAACGGGGGATTGTTGAGCACGCACACACTGAAACAGCTGTACGTCCATCCCATTCTTCAATTTCTGCCATCATTTTCAGAAGACTGTGACTGAAAGATCTTTGAGTTGGTGTTTTTCAGCAGTCAGACAGAAACGTGACCCTGGAGTACTAAAGCAGTTATAAGGCTCCATCATTGTCTGAGATGCAAATATCTGAACATCCAGAATCGTCATTTATTTTCCTTCAGCTTAGTCCCTTTATTTATCAGGGGTCGCCACAGTGGAATGAACTGACAACTCATTCTGCATGCGCTTTACACAGCAGACGCCCTTACAGCTGCAACCCAGTACTGGGAAACACCCCCACACACACATAACGGCCAGTGTAGTTGATCAGTTCCCCTATAGTGCATGTGTTTGGACTGTGGGGGAAACCGGAGCACCTGTAGGAAACCCACGCCAACACGGGGAGAACATGCAAACTCCACACAGAAACACCAACTGACCCAGCCGAGACTCAAACCAGTGACCTTCTTGCTGTGAGGCCACTGTGCTAACCACTGAGCCACTGTGCAAACCCATTCAGAATCCGAATTCCTCTGAAAATGTAAATATTGAGAAAATCCCATTTAAAATTGCTCAAATTAAAATATGCTCTTAGCCATGCATAACACTCATCAAAAATTAAGAATATATATATATTTACACGAAAGAAAAGTACACAATATCTATGAAATATGACCTACTTAATATCCTAATCTTTGGCACCAGAATAAATAATTTTGGCTCAAATGTCCTGTTGGCCATTTCTACAACTTAAGGCAGATTTTGTGCTCCAGGGAGCCAAATGTAATAAATATAGCTTAGAATGTATATGAATATGATTCTGCCTGTTTTTAATTACTAAAGATGAGCCAAACATCAAACTTTACCTGTTATTAATATGCTTTCAACCAATCAGTCAGTCAAAAGAATTTAAAGGGGCAGTTCACTCCAGAAAATGAACACATCACACTCACCGGTAGCAAAAGCTTTCACTTTTGATTTGAGTTAAACACAAAGCAGACGTGTGTGTTCAGGAGGAGATCCGGTCATTAAATATTCAAATTAGAGCTCAGTCATTGGCCAAGCCTGCATTTAAAGGGGCGGTTCACACTAAAACATGTTAATCTGTCCTCATTTCCTCATCTGGCACTTACTCTGACCTGTGTGATTTTCTTTTTCCTGTTGAACACAGATGAAGATACACTGAGGAAACAACTACTGACCTCCACTGAAGTTTGGATTTCTACTATGGATGTCAATGGCTGCTGTTTTCTTTAGTTCATCTTGAACTCATCTTTATCTGGTAAACTGTCCCTTTAAGACTCGTTTAGATCTACTTAACATCCGTATTACAGAATATCTGTGTGAAAATAGCGGAAATGTGGAGTCAAATCATTCTCAAAAATAATATATATTTGCAAAAATTGATACATTATTTCTCAATACAACACATATTTACAAAATCCAACTCATAAATTCCAAACATTTCATAAATACACAAATTATAAATTTAAATATTCCACAAATTAATTGGATGTGTGCATTTATGAATTGTATTTTGAATTTCCAAATTGAATTCGCGAATTAAAAATTGTGTTTTGAATTTCTGAAGTGAATTTGCATATTTATGAACTGTTTTTTTAATTAACGAATTGTGTTTTGAATTGACGAATTAGATTTGCACATTTTACCAACTGCGTTTTGACACTACAAATTGTGTTTTGAATTTACTGAATGGATTTGCATATTTATAAACAGTTTTTTTTTAATTACGAATTGTTTTGAATTTACGAACTGGATTTGCATACTTATGAACTTTTTTTATTTATTTACAAATTGTGTTTTGAATTACGAACTGGATTTGCATATTTATGAAGTGTTTTTTTTATTTACGAATTGTTCAGAATTTACGAACTAGATTTGCATTTTTACTAACTGCGTTGACATTACTAATTATGTTTTGAATTTACAAATTTGATTTGCATAGTTATGAACTATTTATTTTAATTTACAAATTGTGTTTTGAGTTTACAAACTTGGTTTGCATATTTACCAACTGCGTTTTGACACTACGAATTGTGTGAAATTGAATTAGTGTATTTACTAACTGCGTTTTGCAATTTTGTAAATTGGAGTGGTGTATCAATTTTATTTTGTAAATGTATTATTTTTTGAGACTGATCTGGCTCCATATAAACGCTGTTTCGAGATCTGTAGTGAACTTTAACACTAAAACACTGACGTCATGGTTAACACTCGGCAAGAACAGACAGCCGTCATGGATAGAGATATAGATTTTATTATTTCTTCAGCATAACAAATAAAGTCAAATTAACAAAAGATAATATTCATCGTTAATGTCGTTTGAGGAGAAAAATAAAGTGGAAAAGAGGCTCGGTGTGATTTGTGCAGTTTGAGGAGAGTCTTAAACAGAATCCTGACGGGTTAACATGAATATATATTAGTCAAAATAATTAATAATAAAAATCAAACTGAATAGCCCAAATCCACAGCCGGAGCAGCTCTGTGAAGCTGGGCTGAAATGAAAGCAAACGCTCCTTCATGGAAAACGAGACGTTTTTCTGCTTGGCGTTTATTGTTGCGTTTTTTTCGCCGCTCTCCGTACATTCGTTAAATGTGATGGCACAGAGGTAAACAAACAAGCTGCCATTTTCCGCATCTCCAGACACGAAGGACGAAAGTAACACTCCACATTCAGACGTAACAATAGAAATATCGCGTTACATGATGGCGATCAAATCAAACGAAACGAAAGAAAGTTATTGGTTAATTGCTTCTAGTTTGCGTGGGTTTTCATTGGCGTTAGGATTTGTAGTTGGACGTGAGCCAGGTGAGCCCTTCGTAGAGTCCGTCGCCGGTTGTAGCGCAAGACGGCTGAACGTACCAGTTGCGATCTCGGATGCGCGTCAGGCCCAGCTTCTCCTGTATCTCATGAGGCTTCATGGCGTCTGGAAGGTCTTGTTTGTTGGCGAAGATGAGGATAATGGCGTCGCGCATCTCACGATCGTTGATAATGCGGTGCAGCTCCTGCCGAGCCTCATCGATGCGGTCACGATCCGCACAGTCCACTACGAAAATCAGGCCCTGCGTGCCGGTGTAGTAGTGCCGCCATAGAGGACGGATCTTATCCTGACCGCCGACGTCCCAAACGTTAAACTTGACGTTTTTATACGTGACAGTCTCTACATTGAAGCCCACCGTCGGGATGGTCGTAACCGACTGGCCCAGTTTGAGTTTGTACAGAATCGTTGTCTTTCCGGCGGCGTCAAGTCCGAGCATCAATATTCTCATCTCCTTGTTGCCGAAGATCTTGGAAAGCATCTTCCCCATGGTGTTGGCTGGGCATAAATCACGATAAACTTCGAAAACGTTGAAATAAAAAAAATACAGAAATGACTGGGGAGTGCAAGACTTAGTCGCTTTTCCGATGTGTTTATAGAGAGTGTGTGGTAATGAAGGTGCATAGAGAAGAAGCCCACGGGTGGAGAAGCTCTGAAGCCGTCTTCCGGTGCGCGGATCCGGCACGTTCTGTCGGACTTCCGCCTGGAGCTCCGCGTTTCCGGCCGCTGTACATTCCCTCAGATATTCATGCCGACCGGCCTCTTCTGGCCCTGGAAGACACACGCACACACATACATACAAACATACATACAGACACACACACACACAGAAACAGACACACACACACACACAGCTTAACTTTGCGCCTCTACTTTCCTCTGTTAACCGTAACGCTCACTGTACGGGCGGCTTTACCTCATTTATCGGCCCCCTCGCGCACACCGGGCTCGGTTCAGTCCCACTCGCCTCTCCGGTCGCGCTGCTGCTGCTGTCGGTGTTTCCGTTACCGGAAAAGGTGCGGACCTTCAGCCGCCACTTCCTCTGTTTCTCGCTCAGGCGCACTGCGCTATTTGACATTCGTGCTCCCTGAATCTACTACGGCGAAGGCTCTGCTTTTAATATTCATGACGCGCGCTTGTGTGATTGGCGGGAGAGCGGCTGCGTCATCACCCGTTTAATATTCAAACACACTGAGCTTTGCTCAATTTTAAGTAGGACTTTGTTAATATTCGTTACACAAAATAAATATATCAGATTTATGTACGTATTAACGCGGTCTCCTTGCAGTCAAATTATTAATTCCAACAAAAGCCGCGTGACCTAATTAATATTCATAAAGACCTTCGCCGTAGTATAATCGCCCAAGTCGTTTTAAATAAAATGGACGCCATTGAGAATCTTGGTTTTGTAGTGTTTACCTCGTTTAAATAGTTCAGATGTGATGTTTGCAGCGTGATGAATGATTCCAGCGCGTCCAACCGAGGAGTTTGTGCATATTTTACTGCGCTTCCTGTCCAGAAAACCGCCTGATCAGTGGCGTCATTTGACGTCGGGGGGGCGGGGCCGGCCGAGTTTAAAAAATGCCTGGTTTAAATAAAACAGCCCTCAGAGCCAGACGCAGACCCACTGCAGAAACCAATGACTGTAAAAAATATGGACGACGCGACAGCCCTTTTTCCCATTGAACGCCTTGAGGGCAAAACGCCTGCTTGACGGGCACAAACTGTCGCAAAAGACTGCTGAAATTGGAGCCAGACATGCGCAGAAGGACTGTCTGATGGAGCCAGAGGAGGAGCCGCTAAAATGAGCAGAGTCGAGCTTCCAATCAAACGCTTTATGTAAAATCAACTACGCCCCCCAAACTTCTCAGCATGCGTTTGCTGTCATATCAACACAAATGGATGTAATAACGTTAACAAATATGAGGGTTTTATATATTCAATCGCGCCAGCTCCAGGCCGCAGCGCACAACTTACTCGCGGCGTCGCGGGCTGATTCCGGCTCGCATGCGGCAGCGCCTGCTCGCTCGGCCGCCGCATCTGGCTCGATTGACTCGGGCTGGAATCGGGTAGTGAGTCCAGGCATCCGGAGTAGGTCCAGCAGAGGTAACATTAGTCAGTCTGAGCTCTAAGAGATAAGTCTCCGGCAGGCGAGAATCTAGCCGGAACTGTGTTTTGCTATCTGGGTGGCTAGGCGTGTATCAGCAAACTAATAATGCCCGAAAAAAGCCCTGAACTTAGCGAATAAACAGTGTTCCACCAGGATCATGTATGTCAGAAACTATAGTTTACTGCTGAACTCATTTTGTCATGGTAAAATAACACAGAAATCGAATAATAACATTTCAGTCTACTTCAGTCTCCTGCAAAAGCTCAGACGCCGCGCTTTGAGAAACTGTCAATCACAGCTGTCAATCACGATGACACGCCCAGCATTAAATTACTGCTAAAAACAAACTGTTTACAAAAATGAAGATCTGCACCTATTTCAGCACAATAACCAGTGCCTTAATCGACCAGAACTATCTTTCGGGACATTTTATTGCAAGTGTAATATTTTTTTTTATTTGGGCTCAAGTCTCCTTCATTAACACGGAGGAGGCGGGCTTTATAACTTGTACTGCAGCCAGCCCCCAGGGGGCGATCTAACGGCCGAAACCTTCACTCAAACGTAGGCTTGCGGCACACTTGGCAGAAACACATGCGTCTGCGGGTTTTCTCGAGAGAGGAAGGCCGTGTAGGAGATACATCAACCAGCAGCAGATATGAGCAGCTGCTGAGTCACTGTAGGATTCTGAAGTCTGGAGTAAGCAAAGATCGACTAGTAGCTACAGTGTGCCTGTCAATAATGCTCCACCAGTCCCATTACAATCTCTCTCTCTGTCAACAGGTGAACTCCCGCCTGCCCTTTTAATATCTTAATTTATACCTTTTATTCTTAGTTTTGAAGCTGATATTATAATCACAGCAATAAAAATTTTGTTGCTAACACTATTAATACATTCATTTTCATTCAGCTTAATTCCTTCTTCAGGGGTCACCACAGCGGAATGAACCACCAACTTATGAATAATACATTTACTATATATATATATATATATATATATATATATATATATATATATATATATATATATATATAGTTAACGTTAGTTTATAAAAATACTGTTCATTTGTGAACTTTATTAAACAACTATTTTGGATTTTAACAAGAGTAATTTAGACCCATTTAGTCTTTTTTTTTTTTTACATATTATGTGCTAAACCTTTTCAAACGCGTTGAAAAGGGGCGTGGCCTGTTGCTTGTGTCGGTACTTCAAATAGTGCGTCCTTAAATAAAAGTGAGTCCACAAATAACCCAAATGTGCAAAGTTCATTTTTAAACTGAGTAAAAGCGAGTCTAACAATGAAAATAAGGATCAGTCGGAAAAAAAAGTCATGCAAATATTTGTTATAAATATTATATATAAAGTCCGATTTAAAATCCAATTCATAATTATTTTTTCAAGTGAGGTAAACAATTTAAAACATTTGAGCTTTAAAATATTTTTTATGAATTTAAATGCCATTACAAGCACAAAAATTAATCATTTACCTCTGATTTAAAAAATAAATGAAAAAAAAACAAGGGCATCCAGCGTCTTCTGAGTGGTCATTTTGTTAGGGATGCTCTTAAATGTACATTTTGTTTACATGTTTGGCTTTTAAAAAGCGCTGTTCAACTAACCTTAAATGAATATTCCAGAAACAAAATCATATGTGGGAATCCCGAGAACATTACGTGACTTTAATCCATTTAACAGTTAAAACGTAAAATCTAGTTTTAATTTTGTTTCCCAAATGTTTGTTTTATTTATGTTAAAAATCCAGTGAAATGTGCAATTTTTATTGTGTTTGATGTAATCTCAACTGAAACAAGGAAAAGGGGCGGGGCATAGAGTAGCCCCTCCCTTAACAAATAAGCAGCTAATAGTGTGTTTGTCCCACAGCTCTGCCTGTGAGAGCGGTTGAGCTCAAGCACAACAAATGAACAGCCCATAAGGGGCGGGGCATGTCATACACTATAGCATTTGATTGGTCAGAAGATTTGATGAGTAACTGAAGTAAGAAAAGAAAACAAAAAGTCCGTTTAGGCGGAAAAGACAAACTGCAAACTGTAGATGTTTACACATCAGGCTCATCTCTTCTACATGTGAGTTGCGTCAGTGTTTCAGAGACACTCGATTATAAATATGTTTACATACTGATAAAAACTCCTAAAAAACGTTATTTAAATTTCACACAGCTCACGAATGTTTCTGTACATGTGAAATAAGAGCGCAGACAGGTGTTGAGCTCCTGAAGAACCTTTATTTTACGAGAGTGTTCAGATCTCAGAGTAAATCATTGGTTTAGGAGTTTGCGTTCGGCCCCTTCTTCTTGCCGAAGGTCGGCACCACGTTGACGAAGCGCCGGTTGTACTGAATGCGGCGTTTGGCACGGCCGGTCTTCTTCTTCTTCTTCTCCTGTTTGTCCACCTGCAGGCCGAGCGAGGAAGAAACGCTTGTTAAAGTTACGAAAGTTAATAACTATTAAAATTTGTATTAAATTACACGTTAATTGCATTTTATTTTAACCCTCACGGTAATATAAAACGGTGATTATATCCAGTATTATATATATTATTAAACTGCAGATTCAATTTGTATTTTATTAACATCTACACCTCACAGTAATGTAAAAACAGTAATTATGACAAATTTACATTATTAAATTACCCATAACATGTATTTTTATTAACGCCTAGCCCTCACAGTACTGTAAAAACTATAATTATAAGAAATAAATATTTATATTATTGTCAGCGCAATTGCCTAGTGGTTAGCGCGCTGACATATGGTGCAGTAGCACGTCAGGGCGTTCCGAGTTTGATTCCTGGCTCGAGGATATTTCCCAACCCTACTCCCCCCCTCCCCTCCAACTTCGCTTCCTGTCTCATTACTGTCCTATCTAATAAAGGCAAAAATAAATCTTAATTTTTTAATCATTATTTATTAATGTACTCATCAAATTGTATTTTATTATCGTTTATTTCTCACAGTAATGTAAAAACGGTATTAACAAAATGTACATGACTTATTAAATTACATTGTGTTTTCTTAACGCCTACCCCAACCGTGATAATAATAATTACGTATATTATTTATTAAGTTGACCATTAAAACGTATTTCTTACCATTTATCCCTCACAGTAATGTGAAAACAGTAATTATAACGAGAGTTATTTGCATTATTTATTAAATTACCAATTATACTGTATTTTACAAACACCTACCCATCACAGTAATGTAAAAACTGGCAATTACACTGAGAAATATTAATACTATTTATTAAATTATGCAACAAATTGTATTTTATTAATGTTTATCCCTCACAGTAATGTCAAAACAGTAATTATATCGAGAACTATTCATTTATAAATGACCAATTAATTGTATTTCATCATCCTTTATCCTTCACAGTAATGTGAAAACTAAATTTAACAAGAATTATTAATAATCACGAATGAAATCACCAATTAATTGCATTTTAATCAATTTAAGCGTCTACCGCTGATGTTAAAGGCCCTAACTATAACGAAAATTATTCATATTACTTGTTAAATTACCCATTACTTTGTATTTAATCAATGCCTGTAATGGCTGTATTTTAATAATAACAGTAATTATACAGAGGCTTATTCATATTACTTATTAAATTACCCATTAAGCGTGCTTTACATGTACCCCAACCCCACAGCTGTATCTCTTTTAGAGTTGAAACCGTAGTAAACGCAGTGAGCTGAAGATCACAGCACTGCAGACGGGACTTACCTTAGGCGTCTGTCCTCTTACTTTACCAGCGCGAGCCAGAGAGCCGTGGACTTTACCTGAACACACACACACAAGCATCTCAGAAATACGTGCAAAAAAACAGTGTTCCCACTCTACACCACATGGCAAATTCACTGATAATGTCCAAATGTCAAATTCAGGACGTCCATGAGCGATGACCAACAGAAAGACTGGCAGCTAGTGTTTCCCTCCGAAAGTTAGGGGACATATCAGGCTGTGCATTTACACACACACACACACACACACACACACAGGAGTTGGACACTTGAGACTGAAGGCCTGGGGCCTCATGTACGAAGACTTGCGTGGAAATCTTACTAAAACATTGCGTACGCACAAAGCTGTAAATGTGCGTACGCAGAAAAAATTTCAGATGTATGAAACACTGCGTACGCCGAATCTCACGCATATTCTTTTGTACATCCGAATGAACGTGAAACTGAGCGCAACATGCACGAGCGCAAAACCCCTCCCTGCCTCCTCCCCCGTATGAATATGCTAATGACTATGCTAATGGCAAAACCCAACGAAAAAGCAACGGCAAAATCAAACAAAAAGAGAAACTTTGAACAGAATGTGAATTGGAGGTGCTGCTTTCGGAGGTAGACCGGAGAAAAGCGGTGTTATTTGCAAGTTTGTTCTCCGGAATTAACAACAAAAGAAAAAAATAGAGTGGGAGAGTTTAGCTGATGCGGTTAACACAGTTGGGTCTGAACATCGCACTGAGTGCATTTACAAAAGAAATAGTGTGGTTTATATCTGTAAACTGTTGCAGCACCCTTAGCAGTCTCAGTGGCGCACCTCATAAGAAGCATATGATCATATACTGACACGTTCGAGCACTAACTCGGTTCGAATCCAGCGTCTGATGAATTCTTTCTTCTTTTTTTCCCGCTACACATCAGATTTTGCCCACTATTTATCACGAGAAAGACAAGTAGGAATCATTAATAAGTTTGTGCATCATATTTTATTTGCACATTTATTGAATGGAAATGTTTCTGATTCACGCATGCAAATTTATCTTCAGATAGTGTCTTTATAGCAATGTGCGTGCAGTAGATAGCTCAGATTACATTGGGAAAACAGGCGACCGCTGCAAATTGTGCTTTAATGTTTAGCTGGTCAACTGTATGGTATGGAAATCTTACATACCTACTATATGAACCCGTCTCATACAGCTGCCATTGCAAGGCTCAGACACTTTGTAGAGAGGAATTTAACACAACTGCCTCTAGGAGTCGCCAATGGAAATAAAACAGACACGCACAAAAAATGTGCGTACGCCAGCCAGAAAGCTGCCGTGGAGCTGCGCACATTCCCACGTTCAGTTCATTGTTAGTAAATCCAAACGTGAGCGATTCTGAGCGTGAAACCTGGCGTACGCAAAGTTTTTGTGCGTACGCAGCGTTGATACATGAGGCCCCTGGTGTTTGAGGACAGTAGTTGATCAGTCTGCTGTAGCTCCTCCTCCTCATTACATCATCAGCTGGTGTAGTGATTGAGGGGTTGTGTCATTACTGATGGTCATTACTGATGCTGCTGGAGGAAAACCTGTCCTGACTCACTCCTCCAAAACAGCCCAAAGTGCTCAATAATGTTTAGTTCAGGGTACTGTGCAGGCCATGGGAGATGTTCAACTTCACTGTTCAGAGCACTCTGTCTCCAGTCCTGCTGTGTGTATTGCTGCATTATCATCTTGATACACACCACCACCTCCAGGGTACAATGTTTGACCCATTGGGTCACATGCTCCTCCAGAATGGGTCAGTAGTCCTTGGCAGTGACCCAGCACCCATCTAGCAGCAGTAATGGTCTAGTGAACGCTGTGATATTGAGCCCAGAACATCAGTCTCCCCCATGCTTGACTCTGGGCATCAGCAGTCTGGGTGGGCCGCTCCTGTGGGGCTTCTCCACACCGTGACTCTCCCGGATGTGGGAAAGACAGTGAAGCTGGATCATCAGAGAACAGCACATGCTCCACATCGTCCACAGCTCCAGATCTCCACCGCTCCTCCACTGAGGCCGGCGTTCAGCATGGGCAGGAGTGAGCAGAGGTTTGGCTCATGTATGTTGACCCGGTGGAGCTCCAGAGAGCAGTTCTGCAGGACACAGGAGAGTGGAGCTGCACATGTCATGCTGCAGTGAGTCGGGCCGCTGTGCTCTGATGTGTTCTGGGTAAATCAGGGTTATCAGCTCTTTCAGCTTCCTCCGGCCTCCACAGCTCCTCCTGCTGGATCTGCTTCTTCTTCTTGGTGGTTTGCTGACATGACTCTGGACACCGCGGCTCTCAATCATCACACACACCTGCTGTCTCGCTCACAGACACACAGCAGCACTCTGTCCTCTTCTGAACTGCGCTGTGTCCCCATAATGCAGTGTGTGTGCAGGATGTGCTGTGCTGTTCCTCTGCTGGTGAAGCTTCACTCTGCTCCACTGAAGATCAGTGAAGATGAACAGCAGGAGGAGACAAGCAGACAGAGCACCGACAACACTGCACTGACCACAGCTTCAGCTTCACTCTACAACCCCTCTTTGTGTGTGTGTGTGTGTGTGTGTGTGTATATGTGTGTTTACCTCCCAGCAGTCTGCCAGACACCTCGAGTGTGCAGAACTCAGTGATGCCGCAGTTCAGCAGCGTGGAGTCGTCCTGCAGAGGAGCTCCAGACAGCAGGAGGAGCTGATCCTCCACACACACTCCCTCCAGAGCCTCCACATGGGCCTGAACACACACACACACACACACACACAATATATCAAATACAAAGAACAGAACAGATATGACATATCGTAACACACACATTACTTCCAGAACAAGTCAAAATTATTTGAACACACCACTGTTATACAATGACTTGCCTAATTACCCTATTTGGGGTAACTCCGCCTGAATTTGGCCTTCCGATTTAAAAAGCTTCCCATACCCACATGCAGTGGTGTAAATACAAAAGTTTGGTATCATTTGAAAGGAAACCCTTTGAAATTTCATAAAATACAGTTGAAATGGAAAACAATTGTTGTGTATATTGTCTGTGTTATAATAAACACACAAAAAGGCGCTTTTTTTAAATATATATACTGAAGTTTGGAAATGTGCAAATCAGTATTGGAGAGTTGCAGCACCCTGGAAACAGTTTTATTTCTTTCCAGCAGGTGTCAGCAAACACAGGAAAAAGGATTTTTTTCTTTATAATAATTTATGTGAGAATAATTCCATTCCAACTGCGAGGAGGAAAAATGCCATTTTTTATTTTATTTCCGCCTACCTATTTTTGAAGTCTCCCCATACCCTCATACAGTATAATAAATGCCATATCTCAATGTAATTTTACAGAAAACCCTTTGAAATTACAAAAAGAACTGCTGAAAGTGATAAATATTATTATACATGTCGTCTGTCCTATGATGAACCACCTCAACACAAACCGCTTTTAGTTTTTTTGTTGTAAAGCCTGATTTAGAAAGTGTATAACTCAGGCCCTGTATGCTCCATCAAACTGCAGACTGTTTTGATTGTTCCCAGCGTTTGTCAGGAGACTCTAGAAAAAAGAACTTTGTTTTTATCATGTAGTATGCAATAATTATGTTAGTTCAACTGAAGGGTGGGAAATCATAACTTTTTTGCGTCTGATCTGACTTGTACGCACTCTGTTTTGGACACCTCTCTTCCTGTTTGTCATGCAATATCTCGGTCACTGATTGGCTGATCAAGGCTTGCGATACATCAGCATAAAGCCGAGAATCTCACCTTTCTAGTGATATGTATTCATCTGGATAGGTCGAGGCTATCATATTTTTGTGAATTTTGGAATATCATGACCCTAATTTGTTGCGTTTGGCACTTACAAGACACAGCAGGGGTTTACTGATGCACACATCCTCAGAAAACGCTGAAAATTGACTCATTTTGTAGAGAAAAACCTAATGTAAAAGATGATGTAGCTTGTTTGGCTATCTGTGCTAGCAAATGATCAATAATTTTCCTTTTATGTTTACAAAAAACAAGTTTATACCAACGATGGATCCTTATTATTGGCAATGAGAGCTTTGATTTGATGTATTACTTGCCATTATGTGTCTAATATTAGCGGTGTGAAAAATGCATACTGAACAAAGTACATATTCGGGGAGGGGGGTTGAGATATTATACATCGAGTGTAAATTAAGTGTAAATAACTTCGTTACAGTACAACAAATATTAAAGTGATGTGCATCAGTTGATAACAGACATTCTAAGCTTTCACCCAGTAGGTCATAGGGTGTTATTAATGCAGACAGACCTCTTAAACCTATAGTTATTCTCCCGATGACGTCCTTTTGTCCCCGGTACCGAGCACACAGAGTTTAACTGGTTAAATGTCACTTTAAGCTGAACACTAGCGTCTTGAAGAATATCTAGTCTAATATTATTTACTGTCATCATGACAAAGAGGAAATAAATCAGTTATTAGAGATGAGTTATTAACACTATTATGATCAGCAATGTGTTAATGCACATATTAAAGTATTGCACGAGACACGACAGACAGAAATGCCAAATTCTGAATCAAAATTGAATCCTCACCTCACTTGAGGGGGTTTTGGACGCATATATATTTGCCACATACACTCTGAAGTAGAGAGGATTACACCCACGTGACTCCATTATGCTTGGCTTGTTTACTGTTGGTTGCTAAGTAACCAATACTACAGTGAGCTCCTCAGCTGATGTACATTTTACATGTGGGATTGTTCGATGTTTTGCAAACTTAGACATGATTGGCTTCACATTAGGATAGAAACATGACTACAGATACACACTAGGCAGGGGATGATAACAGTGTTCAGCGTATACTGCGGTTTGGAGAAATCGAGGTTTAAAACCGTCGAAATGGTCAGCAATACCGTTCCAGAGGTATGAGGAGGATTTTTATTTACATTTCTGTGTTTTTTTAAGGAAAAATATCTGCAAAGATGCTTTAAATTGTAAAGAAATCAAAGTTTTTGAAACTAATGAAGACAGCAGAAGTCAATAATCCATCTGAGTTATTCAGCCTGACATGTTCACTGCTCCAAAACATTATAAATGTTTCTCAAAATTAAAATATATCGTGTGCAAAAGGGGAAAAGGTTTTGTTTTTTACCCAGACATTTAAAAAGAGCGTATATTAGAGCAGTGATCTTCCTGATATCTATAGCCAAGGTTATCATACCGCCAGAATCTTATACCGGCCTATGCCTAACACACACACACACACACACACACACACACACGCCTCACCTTAATGTCACGGACGGTCTCATTTCCGGAGACCTCGAGTGTGTGAAGAGACTGAGCGCGCAGAAACAGCTGCATGATGAGCACTACAACACACACATTATATACATTAACACACACAAATCACACATATTGCATTAAACTGACAAAAAAAGCTACTTAAACAGCACACTTAGAGCTGAACTACACTAAAATATATCCGTGAGCTGATATAACGCTGAACATATACTGTGTGTAATCTAGTGGTCTGATGGACAGTGGCAGGTACCAATGCCTCCAAAGTTTCAAGAATGTATAATCGAGTGTACACATGTTTTTTACATGTCTAATAATTGTTGATGTTCATATTTAGATCATAGATACACAAAACTACAAGAATAACAAGAATACAACGGACACACATGCACATTTTCAATAGTAAACACGCAAAACTCTTAGTTTCTCTGCTGATTAAATTCACTTACATTACAGTATACATTAAATTCTGGAGCAAACTAGAAACAGAAAACAAATTATAAGAGATGAAATAATAAATATTAAATCTAAAAAAGTAATTTGTGCTTTATTTTAAGCTACATAATATTTATGATCCACAGAAGCACAATATTGAAGCGATAATCTTTTTTCATGAATGTGTGCAGCTTTTAATAAACACCAAATAGAGAAAAACACTTAATTAAGCAATGAAATTCATTCATTCCGCCTGCAATGATGAGCAAATGGCCAAGCTGGGTCCTGGAGTGCCGGTGTCCTGCACACTTTAGCTCCAACTCTAATCAAACACACCTGCTTATATTTCTAGTGATCTTGAAGACACCGATTAGCATGTTCAGGTGTGTTTGATTAGTGTTGGAGCTCAACTGTGCAGGACACCGGCCCTCCAGGACAGAGTTTGCCCACCCCTGGAATATATTGTATAAACTGTCCAGGTGTAATGAACAGTGGCAAAGATACTAATGGCTCAAAGGCTGTATAATTAAGTGTATAAATGTTTTTTGTGTGTATAAAAAATGTTGTTGATGATATTTATATCATGGATAACTTGATGACACATTAAAATACACACAGTTTGACTGAATATGCTACTTGTGTAATATAAAAATTGGGGTAAAGTTGGTTTAATATTCACACATTCAGACTTTCTCCTTAATGCAATTTCAGAAAGGTATTATTTGCTAAATACTATCATCAGCCGATGATTCTCAGAGTACAAGATTATTCACAGTCAAATAAACAGTGCTAATGTTGATTTCAAGTCAAACTTGAACAGACCGAATATTCACAGTAGTGTAGTAAACAATACAGGGACTGTACAGATGAAGGAATGTGCCAATATATAACCAACTTTACCTCAATTATTAGATCACGCATCGAGTATATTCAGTCAAACAGTGCATTTTAATGTGTCAAAGTCAGCTTTATTGTCAATTCAACCACATGTAAAGGACATACAGAGAATCCAGGGTTCTTACACCTTTTCCAACTTCAAATTCAGGCACTTTTCAAGCACTTTCAATGTGCATTTCTGTTTTTCAGCACCTAACAACCATGGTATATTACGTTTAAATATGTTGTATGCATGTATTCACATTTAAATCCATTGTGCTATTTAAAAAAAACACGATATGACCTTTCAACTTAAATTGCTGAATATTTTGGAGCATAGAATTATTGGGACAGTTCACCCAAAAACGGTAAAAATATATTTATATTTTTTAGAAAGCTCAGTTATTGGATGAAGTATCTTTTAGAGTTTGTTCTGTCTACCTGAAGTTGATTTCTCGTTCGTAATATTTCATGTTCACTGCTATTCAAAGTTCACATAACAAGTTAAATCCTTAAGAGTCAGAAAATGTTCCAATTATTGTGAAAATCCGTCACCAAATATGGAAACGACAGTTTGTAAGCTTTTATCAATATTACTTTTTATTATTGTCAATATTACTTTAGGTTAGGACTAAGGTGCAGTTTTAACTGTGTGGTAAATGTCCCACCTGTCAAATGGTTTTGATTGTGCGCAAAATAAATATTTAGCTTAAAGGAAAACTACTCCGTAAGATAACAAATTATTAAGAAAGCAATGAAATTTCAAATTCAAGCAGGTTTAAGCACATTTTCCAGGATTTCCAGCACCCGTACGAACCCTGAGAATCGTAATTATGTACCTCTCAGAGCCTCAGTGCCTAACATATAATATTCATACAAAAAGTAGTTTTAGAAAGAATTTACAATACATACAATTGTACATAAAACGTCATAAAAACATACAATAAATGTAATTTAAAAATATATGTAAATAATAGAAATTTGTAAACAATACAATTACATTAAGGGCATCAGGTGATCTTTGATATAAACATTTAAAAAGATTTTCACACATGTACAAAACATGTGTATTCTTTCTTGAAACTTTACAGACATTTGTATTGTTTTGCCTACAGAATATCAACCTAAACAGGCTTTATATTAATATATATGTGAAAATTAAACAGCATTTACAGCTATGTTGGATCTTTATAGTTTTGATTATTTAATAAGGATTATAGTCAGTCGTAAGGATGTTTTATTCAGCTTCTGTTGGTTTCCCTGATAACCCCTGCAGTGTTTGACGCTCTATAAGATCTTCTGTCCGCCATCGTCGCAGGGTTATTGAGTTAAACATGGATTAATCTGCTGAATAATCTGCGTTTTACACCAAACTCGATCCCGACACTCGTGCGCGCGCCCGTCAAACACGCGGAGCTCGTACGCGCTTATAAACTCTTCATTACGGCGGTTTCATTCCTGTTTTTGAAACCTACGCGCACATATAACCCGACATCACTCTCCTAAACCTGGATAAATGACATTATTGACTATATACTCGAGAATAATGAGAAGAATAGTCGCGGGCCTTACATTGGCGATGCTTGTCGATCCACAACTGGACGAGAAAAGGACAGAGAGCATGCGCGGCGCACAGAACTCTGGGTAGAGCGACGCACACGTGACCATCACGTGTTTATTGAATCAACATCATGAATATATACACTAGATATCGCATAGGGACCCTGAGCATGCGTCAGTAGCGCCGCCACATTGGTACAGTGCTCCCAGGACAAATGTCATTCAACCGCACTAGTCAAGACAGTGTTATTACGTGAAGATGCGGGACTTTAGCGCTGTCTACGAGTGTAGTAACAAGCAAACAAAGAAAACAAAGCACAAAGGCAGAACATTTCATAGGTAATAGTCAGTTTTTTTCTGTTTTTGAATGTTCTGAACTTTTGTGCTAATCAGGTCACGTTATTGATGATAACAGTCACTTACTGCATTCACCATACGGCAAAGCAGCTCCAACTCGCACTAAACACTCGGCTTATGCTAGTTTTGTTGAATAAAATCAGCAAACAATGCAAAAGAAATAAGACAACGAGATGCTGCGCTGCCAGAAACTGGTATTATTGTCGGCTAACGTTAGTGAAAGAGTCGTTCATAACGGAGATTCATTCACAAACGAATCGCTCCCTCCGTCAGTATGAGCAGTGAAAGCAGGAGAGGAGCTGTGTTTCAGGACATGATTAGATCAGATTTAACAGGGAGGGAGGATAGTACATTTCTGTACACACAAACACAAGCCATTGCGGTCACTGATCCATCAATGTAGAAAAGTGATGTAAAATAAAAAATTTAATAATTAGTAAAAAAAATTACATACTAACATCCAGGAAAACTCCCAATCATAGACATATGTGTATATCTCTGGCTTTGGATGGCCACAGTCCTCCACTGTACCTTGGTCCCGCATTCATTTCAAAGGAGCGCTACCCTGTAGCAAGATGGCGGCGCTATTGACGCATTCCGTCCAATAGACAACAACAGGCCAGGCGACATCTAATGTATATATTAATGAGAATCACCAAGAGGCGACACTCTAGTGCAATTTGTGTATTTGATCGGATGGGTGGTCTTTCTTTCTTGCTGTTGTGCGACTATAAAGCAGATTAACTTCCAATTAAACTCTCAGCCTTTCACAAACAAGCTCTTTTAGCTTAGAAATTGATGTACAAACATAACTTCTCCCCACACCAATGTTATGTTTGGAACTGTAATATTTTGTACAAACATAAAACCTTGTTCTTAAAAATTTGGTTTGAAAAGGGAATTTTTTGGTGGGACAGGTACTAAATTCCCAAGGTTACCTAATGACTTATGAAGAATTTTTATCACACTTTAATTTTACTGTGTCCCATAAAGAATTTGCAACAGTATTTTCTGCTATTCGTCTATGTATTGTCTCAATATGTAAAAGTTACTCATAATTAGGAAATATCTCTTTGTTGTTTTTGTGTTTTGATAAAAAGTATAGTATTCAGCTATAGCTTGCATGTTTTCACACATTTAAAATATGTGGCTAAGAAATGATTAACTGTTCATTTTGGGCTCTAAAAATTATGAAAACTAATTGTAATATATGAAAGCCTGACCCATCTGCTCATGATTACCCTGCTAAAAAATCCAGCTTAAACCAGCCTAGGCTGGTTGGCTGGTTTTAGCTGGTCGACCAGGCTGGTTTTAGAGGGGTTTTGGCCACTTCCAGGCTGGTTTCCAGCCATTTCCAGCCTGGTTTTAGCTGGTCAGGCTGGAAAATGACCAGCTAAATCCAGCTAAAACCAGCTTGACTAGCCTGGTTTAAGCTGGACATAGCTGGTTTTGGCTGGGCTCCCATCATGGCTAGGCTGGTCAAGCTGGTCATTTTCCAGCCTGACCAGCTAAAACCAGGCTGGAAATGGCTGGAAACCAGCCTGGAAGTGGCCAAAACCCCTCTAAAACCAGCCTGATTGACCAGCTTAAACCAGCCAACCAGCTGGTTTAAGCTGGATTTTTTCAGCAGGGTATTGAGCAAGCTCATACACGACACACAAAAAGTGAAATGAATG